TACAAATCAGCAGTTACGGTATGGGCCTGGAAATTAATGGGTTCTTCAACAAAGGTATAGAATTAAACTACCTTTATATTCAAGATGTTTGTAACTAGAATAAAATTGTGAGTTCTTCACAGATTTAAGCTTCTTGGTTTTGCTTTCATAGTCCTGGCTGAGATTCATAGAAAAGACACCAAGACACAGTATATTTTCATTTGCCTCCAAACTGAGCAGGCTGCCAGTTGAATACAGAGGTGGCTGTGTGTTAGAAAGGAAAACTTGGTTTTATGTCACTTCTGAAATAAGTAAATTTTTTTTTTGTTTATTTTTTCTTCTCGTGTTCTACATGCCATTTGGGGCTGGAGCTGGAAGGCAGGAGGTGTATTTCACAATCCCTCTCCCTACAGGGGAAAGTGCCAAGGTACTTGAATTCAGAGTCACATGAGCTATGCATAGTCATCCTGCCACATGCTTCTGTATAGAAGCTCAGCGTTGGGTCTTTTTTAATGTGCTGTAGAAATCTCATGTGACTTGATGAAGGTCACTCTGCAGGCCAGAAGCTATCAAGAATAAAAGCAGTGAATCCTGCTACTCTATAACTAGAAGACCAAACTGCATCCCCCAAAGCATGCAGATGAAGAGAGACCTGGCTATGACTGCAGTGTGCATGGCACAGACCTGGTTTGTCTTCCGAACCTCCCTCAGGAACTCTAGGGTGGTCATTGTGTGTATTCATGATAACGTTTTCTCACCCTCATTTTCTGATTGTCCCACTGTGGTCCAACAAGTATATTGATAACAACCACCATTACTATCAGGTAGCAGAATAGCTCTCTTCCCTAGCATCTCTCTCAAACTCCATTAAAGAGATTAAAAAATAAATAAATACTCTAGTACAAACTTCTGAAAATAAACTGGGCTTGGTACAGGAATTACTGATGAATGAAGTTCCTTTTTTCTTTTTGAGAGGAGTGAACACTTGAAGGCTATTTTCATTTTAATGGAAATATTTTTTTTGTCAGCCTGCCAATTCAAAATAAGGTTAGCAAAACAAGCCTAAAAATAATGAAGGTGTAGTACAGCTAAGAAATTGTGAAAGCGCTGAGTGAGCTGAAGCTAAACACCATATTATGGCCGTAGTTGAGCACTTTTATTTCTATATATGTGTATATATAAAATGTGTCTAAAAATAAATGCATGAATAATAAAATACAGGCCAAAAGCTCAGTTGCCCATGGTTAGATAACTATCTGACTGTATTTCAGGTAAATTCAGATCTAAATATTAGCCTTGTGAAGAAGTGGCTTCAACTTTTAAAAATACCTTTTTCTAGCTTTAAATTGTTGAAAACCCAATCTGCCTAGAGATTGAAATGGGTAATTATATCAGGAAGACAAACTTGTAAACATCCAGCCGAACTTCTACCATGAGGCCTCAAAATTAGATACATTTTAAAATAATTGAGAAGATGATTATACTTCAGAAGAAAACTAAATCTGAGCTCCTGAAGGCTTATAGCACTGAATGTCGGAGCTATTTGTTTAGTGCTTATAGTAAATACAGTAAAATATTACACGCTTTCATGACTTGTGACTGCTTGCTTCCTTCTATTAAATTACACACATAGTGAAGTTCAGCTTTCAGGGTTTTAATGAAGAATACTGTCTTTTTTCTTTAGTGCTGAAAAGAATCAGGTTCTTGTTTGTCTAGCTTTTAAAATTACCATTTTTTTTGAATAACCAAGGAAGATGGAGCTTATAGGAATGGTATGGCTCATCCATGTGAAGTCCAGATCAAGGATGTTTTCAGACACTGCTTGTTGATTATTTTTTTTTATTTTACTTTTTAATGCTACAGGAGAAAACCTTACTACACAAGGTTTCTCAAGGTTACAGCTAACAAAATTTCGTATGTATTTTAGTTTAGGACAAAAGCATTTAGGCCACATTATTTTGTAGGAATGTTTCTGTAGTTTAGGAAGGTGTACTCCATAAGGAAAATAATGAAGTCCACAAATCAAATAATCTGAAAGCCATTACTGTAGGTTTTTAGAAGTCTTTCTCTTTCCTCAGGCTGATTTGAAGCCTAGAACCAGCAGAGTGTAGGAGAGCTCAGTTTAGTCAGTTGCTGACTGAAGGCAAAGTGGGAGAATAAGCTGTGAATGCGGGGTAGCCAGGGCATGCTTTGCGGTGGGACATTTAGGAGATGCTAAGAAAAGAAAATGTGAATTTATTGTCTGAGAAGTAAAGGTCTTTGTAATTTGCAGTGGCAATTTTGGTCTCACAATGTGCTTTGTGGTCAGTACAGTAAATACTATTTATTCTGTAGATGAGAATACTTGTTTGAGGTTGCATGGCTGGTTACCAAAAGACCAAGAGAAGGCTGACACGTATAACTGAAACTGAACTTTTAACCTTTCTGAACAAGTAATCTCCGTGAATTGCAGCATGCACACTGAGATAAGCCAATAGCTGCCTGACCTCTTCAGCTAGTTCTCTATATATGTCTTCTTCCTCTTCCTTATTGCTTTTATAGACTGAGAGATGAAGAATCCCTATTTATTGCTGCTGTATCTCTAGTGACTCCTGTTTTCTCACATAAGTTCAAAAAAGCTCAATTAGTAGGAGGCAGGCCAAGATGAGAATGGGTAAGTTTGAGTGCTGAAATTCTCAGAAACTAAAGTAGTCTGCGTTTTGGGAATTCTCTTGGGAGAAGATGGCTGAAGCAGTGCCTGGTTATAATAACTATATTAAAAAAATCTGCTCAAATCTAAATGTTTGCCTTTCTACACGCTCATGGCAGTCTTTCATTAATTCTTTAGAAAATCCTGTTTCACCAAGTATGCACGATTTTTTTTTTCCCCTATGGAAATGTCAAAATTCAAATTTCAGATAAAGTTCAGACCTGAAGCCAAATATGTCTCCAGATTCTGGATACTTAGTAAGCTGACAGTATTTAAACCAGAACTTGGAAGCAGATTTTTTTTTTTTCTTGTCTTAAGCCTACAGTCAAGTTGGCAAAGGCAAGCTGAAAACCTCACAGCTTTCATTGCATAACATCTGCAAGTTGAAAGGGGCCCAGTTCTGGAAGTCTGTGTAATCCTGGTGTAAGCTTAAAACTTTGTCTTGAAAGGATACTTCCAAAGGGAAGAGAAGGGAACTTGGCTGTGAGATCACTGAGTTTGTTTTTGTTGGTTTGGCTTTTTTTGTGTCCAAGCTGATGAAAACCAAGTATCAGAAGTTGCTAGCACTGTTTCGCATGCAGACAGCATCAACGTTGGCTATCTTCCACAGTTTGCATCTGCTCGTGCTGACAAGCTGTACTTCAACTCTCACTTATTTCAAGTGCTATTAAATAACAATAGTGGTCAGGAAAAAATAGCTTAAAAAAAGCTCTTTTTGAATGAAACAGATTTTTATCTGAAGTTGTATACAGTTGTATATACATCATGAAACTAAGACCTCAGTGAGGGCTTGGATTAAATCCTTGTTATTTGCACTGTAGATGAACACAAAACAGTTCAACCTTTTCTAAAGTTGAAAATGTGTACCTTTATTGCTGTACTACTTGGGCTATTTGATAAAATCATGTGAAGAAGAATCGAACTACTTTGTTCCAGAAGAAGGAAAGGGAGGGAAAGCAACCAGTTAAGCTGATTAATTTCCTTTGACTAGCTCCTTCCAGCTCAGCCTCTAGTAGCTCTGCGGCTTATGTTTTGCCTCTTAGTAATTTTCATCAAGACTGAAATCTGAATTCTTTATTCTGAAAGGCTTTGCATTCAGGATGGATAATGGGACTTGTCAAAACTGGGAGTCCTTGGTCTGTGGTGTGACTGGATTAGATGACCTGGTTATAGTGGCCCTCCTTTCTGAGAGGTGTCTTGGGAAGATGCTCCGTTCGGGTTGAATTGCCCTTTCCCCATGATGTGCAGGGAATACCTATTCACTGCATATTCAGACAGATGAAAGGAAGGCCTTCAAAGCCCCTAAGATGGTATCTGGGAGTGCGCTACTGCCAGCAGAGCACTTGCTCATCGACATGAAGAGCTGTTTCCACGGTGTCTGAGGAGCTCCTTGTAAAGGTGGCGACTACGATGGGGTGGAGTGCTGAAGTGGCAGCAGCTTACTCCTGGCTGTCGTGTTTCCTGAATGGAGGCATCTTTTACAGATGTGTCTCTTAGCTCTATTTTAGTCAGTTCCTGAGGCAGAAAGGGGAGCCAGGTGTATGTCCATCTTCTGCTGGGGAACAGCTTGGTGGTTTAACTAACCAGAAAAACTATGCATTCCTGATCTGTAAATCTTCAGAAGTAATTTATAAAGACATTTGTGATAACTACAGTTGGAAGAGCTTGCATTAATCTGAGGTTAATAAGCTTTTATGAGCATTGGATTAGCTATATGCTGAGGAAAAATCTAGTATAGAAGACTTTATATTGAAAACTTACGTCATCTGTTTGCACTTGAGCTGGTTTTGTGCAGCAGAGTGCAAGACAAATACCATTACACAGCGAAAGGCAACCAAAGTAAAAACTAACTTCACCTTTGAGTAGCAAATACAGTCAGGATTTTCCTTTAGATTTTGAAATTATTTTGTTTCTTGCAACGGATGAGAACCAGCATTGCTGAAGTAGCATAGAAGATGAGCTGCCAGATATAAAATAAAAATAATTTTCAGCAGCAAATTTAGGAGTTTCAGCTTCCTTAGATAGCTGAAGATGTATCTGTATTTGGGACAAAAATCAGTCAAACCAAAGCTCTGGCTATTCTGAGATCACATGATCTCCTAATATGTGGATGCTAAATTACATTACCTAAATATCTTACATTTTACAAATGTCTGGGTTATTTAGCAAATCTTTTCTGGAAAGTATTTCTGAAAGATGTAGCTTCACTGATGTTCTGGTAGTTTAGATCTAGTAATATAAATATTAATAAAATATTGATTTATATTGATTTAATGATTTTGCTCAATGTTGAATCTTATTGCTAATATGTGTGTCCTTTTAATTATTTTAGGAAATCTATCAGTGGTGTGGCTCATCATGCAATAAATACGAACGGCTGAAGGCTACTCAAGTTGCTGTTGGCATTCGGGACAATGAACGAAATGGAAGGTCCAAATTAATTACTGTGGAAGAAGGGAGTGAACCAGACCAGCTCATAGAGGTATTATAACATGTGTACCAGTTAGTAACATAGCTATGAATAAAATGTTTTTACAGCTCAGGAACTAAATAGGATTGGGCTTAAACCTTATATTCTTCAAGGACTCCAGGAAGTCAGATTTAGATTATGGTAGGCCAGTTTGTAGTTCTCTTCCCTCCTTATCCAAGCAGTGTTAAGTTTATTGGGTGATAAAGTCTGAGATAGTTAATCATCTGAGAACACTTTTTCAAGAACTAAATGTTTGCTCCTTTGAATTAGCCATAGGGTGACTTAATTAAGAGCATAGCTCATACCTGAACCACACTATTTGGTCTGTATGAGGAAAGAGCAGCATCGAGGTGGGGCAGCACCAAACAAGAAGGAAGGCATAGCATTACTATGTCTAGGATGTCAACAAACGTAGGAAATTGCATGAAGATGCACAGGACCAAGCACACTGCTTTGTATAACCACTTATATTACAAACTCTTATGCACTTAACCCCTAGTAACCCTACTGAGCCCTTTCCTCATATGTTTAGAAAGTTTAATCTTTTACTTAAAAACCAGAATTTAAATTTCAGAACTGAGTTGATCAAAGTAGATTGCAAAAAATAAAACAATCCCCAATTTATGGAGTTTCCAGATCTTGAAAAAATTGAGCACTGATGCATTGTTGTGGGCCACATACTAATAAAAACATTGTCACTTGGCATTTGTTTGCTAAGTTAAGCTTTTTTCCATTAATTTTCTAAAAAGAAGAAAGAGGGAAGCAGGGTCATAAAGCAATCCTTTAATAAAATGGAAAATGTACAGTTAGAATATTATCTTGTACTTCAAGATGTACAGTTAGAATATTATCTTGTGCTTCAGATGAACTTCAGGAAGTAATGCTAATGGTGCATGAAGGTATACCATTATTTTTGATGGTGCTTACAATTCGGTTTTGTCAGTCTGACCTCAGTGACGGGCAAAGTCATGGAACAGGTTATCGTGAGTGCTATTAATGAGCACATACAGGTTAACCGGGTGATCAGGCCCAGTCAACAAGGGTTTATGAAAGGCAGGTCTTGCCAATCAAACCTGATCATCTTCTATGATGGGGTGACCCGCCTGGTTGATGAGGGAAGGGCTGTGGATGTAGTTTTCCTTGACCTCAGTAAAGCCTTTGATACAGTTTCTCATAGTGTTCTGGTTGAGAAACTGGTAACTGCTGGCCTGGAGAGGCACACCCTCCTTTGGGTTAAAAACTGGCTGGATGGCCGGGCCCAAAGAGTGGTGGTAAATGGGGCTAAATCCGTCTGGAGGCCGGTCACCAGTGGGGTTCCCCAGGGCTCAGTACTGGGTCCGGTTCTGTTTAACATCTTTATCAATGACCTGGATGAGGGGATTGAATGTTCCCTCAGTAAGTTTGTGGACGACACCAAGCTGGGAGGCTGTGTCGATCTGATTGAGGGTAAGGAGGCCCTTCAGAAGGATTTGAACAGTCTGGATCATTGGGCTGAGGCCAATGGCATGAGCTTTAATAAGGCCAAGTGCAGAGTCCTTCACTTGGGGTATAAAAACCCCAAGCATCGCTATAGGCTCGGGGAAGAGTGGCTGGAGAGCTGCCTGGCGGAGAAAGACCTGGGGGTGTTGGTTGACTAC